ACATGCTGGTCTGGCAGTTATACTACATCGTTTTGTGTCGGTTTCGTGGTTTCGTGTGGACGCCGATATTTCTTATATATTTAGGAGAAAAAAAAGATAGGATAGGGAAAGCTCTGGCTTCGTGTGGATGTAGCCTACGGTTTTAGCCCTCATTTGCTATGAGATTTCCTGAACATGCACGATTATGCTTTCTATTAGTCACCGGGATCATGATAAAAAAAATGTTTCCATTTCCAATGCATCTTTGTTGACTTCTTATGTAATATTAATATAACCAATCACATGAATGAAATGTAGTTCCCGAGGCTCTTCCATTTACTGTTGGAACATGCAGCGGTATATTTGACTCATCCTCATTAGTTAGGTCAGCACATTCCCAATTGACTAATAAAGTTCCCGGTATTGATTCCCTCTCAAGCACACACACACACACACAGATTGAGCGAGCAGAGTGATAATGTGTTTCTGGAAGGGGAGACGGTCACACACACAACAGATGAAGGACGCATGAGTCCATATGGCTTAACTGAAGAATGTATTGATTTTAAAAAGCATGTTGCTGTGAATTAAATCAATTGTTTCCACAATCACTGTACACGCAGCCGAACACATGCACACTGTGACTAGATCACAGGTCTTTCCATTGACCTCAGTGCTCACTTACTGTCAGAACAGGTCATGTGCGTACAACATTTGCTGTGACTGGATGTTTATGTAGCTTTTCTGTCTTGTTTTCAAAGGTATTTCCAAAGAGATTGGTGTCGTTCTCCACTTGGATTGATCACACGCGCTGGGCTCGCAACACTTGGGCCATGGCGGCCATCTTCATAGTCACAATGGCCGACATAGTAGATATGGTAAGAAACAAGTGAATTAAGTAAACAAAAGTATGCTTTTTCTAATTCAAGAAATGTATAATGAAAGGAGGTGCTTAATCTAGGGCTGTCGCGGTGAGGGAATTTCCCTTGCGGTAATTTTGAGTGGCTCAATAGCGCGGTATGCTGTATTATCGCCATACATATACATATATA